TATCTAACATGTCTATTTACATATTTTCTATAAGCACTCCCAAGACAAACCAATACTGTTGAAATATGAAATCAGAGTATAGTTTTTGAAAAGTAATTTGATGTCTCTGAATGCCGTCGACACCTATACGTTGGTGTCGTAAAATGTTGTAAGCACGTGGTTATACTTAAGAACCGTCCAATGGTTGTCGTTTGCCACAATTGTTTTTTTGTTTAATGTTATAAGCTTTAATTTGTGCCGTTTGAATTCTCTAGAATTGTTTAACATTTTAATATCCTTGGTGACACTAAATAATCTCTCTTAAGGATACTTGGTCCAGGGGGAAATTTATATAATGAAAGAGTCGTGACAATTGACTATGTTACAGATGAAATAATGCGGCTGTTACCGACGAATCCCATGAATATCTCTTTATCTCTGACAGGAACCCACTTTTGGCATAATACCTCAATGTTGTTAAATCATGTTCCGTAGATGGATGGCAAAGTTCCTCTACGTTGCTCTTTCCAGGCGAGGGTTAACGACAGAAACCAGCTCAAAATGCTCTGCCGGTGAAGTCGATATCTATATATGATATCAATCTCATTAAATTTTCCATTATATTGGTGCTGTCTCGGACAACTCTTTCTCTTATTGCCCTGCGTCCATTGTGTCTCAGTATGTAAGTCGACAAGTTCAACTACACGCAGAAAGTATTTGCGAATTACACGCAATGCACGACCATGTTTGGTCAACGATCAAACGTACGCTAACGGTTTTACATATGAAACAGCAGCCAGATAAACATAGCTTACTTGTCTTGAAATCTATGACGTCACTACATGCATTCCCAGTGCGAACGTGTCTTTTTATACACTGTAGATTCATTGCATGGTTGATGTGTCTTCTTTAAAATGTGAATCAGTTGATTGAAAATCCCCTCGTCTTACTGTGGTGTCTTGTCCTATCTGATTTAGTTGTCAATTGATTGATTACTGTTTGTTTAACGCCCAGTTGCAAATATTTCATACATTTTTTGGAAGCGATCAAATTAATTCTAGTTCGTGTGTTCTGCAAGGTAAAGTGCAGGGAATTTAATGTAATATGTGGGACCTAATTTTTTCTTTACGACATGCGACCTAGTCGGTTGTTTCAGAGGTTCTCTAATGTGCAGACAACTGACACTCTACCAATATAAACTCATCTTTGATATCAGAATTAAGATTATTAACGCCAGACAAGCGTTTAATCTACAAAAGACTCATCAGTGATGCTCCAATCAAAAAAGTAAAAAAAAGCCAAATAAAGTACGAAGTTGACAAGTATTGAGAACCCAACATTTCAAAAGGTTTTGAAGCTAAAGGTAATCTATTCTTGGGATAAAATATCTTTACTTTATCGAAAAAAAAACCCAGTTAATTTATAATTATGACAATATCAATGCTAATTCATGTCAACACTGAAGTGCTGACTACTGTCAACAAGGCATCAGATTGATCATCCCAATTCTACATGTAACTGCTATGTATTTATGTGGACGCCATTCTTATAAATGTTTACTGTAAATTCAGAAATTATTGCGATTTTAGAAGATTGAACAAAAATGCGAATTTTGTTAGTGCGATTTTAGGAAAAGCTATATTTATAGATTATCGTTGGTTATCTCAACGAGATTGATTTTCTCGCTTGAGCCGGTACGGCGAAAGCGAGAAAAGCAATCAAGTTGAGATAACCAATGATAATCTGTTTATCGCTATTTTACCCATGAAGACGTTGTAAATTTCCTTGACAACGGCAAGTGTTCCCCTAGTTTCTAGCGATAATTTTCATATCACTCGACTCCGCTGAGAACGGAAATTATCAGTCAGCACGATCAAAGGAAAAATTCGTAAAATAGCGATAAACAGATATTTATACCAGATACCAGAATGAGTTATTATTATTGCGATACTCAGTGAGACAAATTTTTCGCATTAAAACAAACTTTGCAATAATTTCTGAATTTACAGTAACTGTCTGATAAATTTGAATATATTGATTGATTGTTGCTTGTTTAACGTCCAGTTACAAATATTCTATGCACATTTAGGACGAGAAAAAAATACTTATTGAATTAGGTAGGTTCTGCTAAGTCGATAAGTGATGTAAGCCAAGATGAGGTGAAACAATTTGCTACCAACGACCCCTCGAAAGTTGTCTATGTGTCCTATAATGCAAACATACCGTGAAAAAGTCCGGATTTAATGTACCGTCTTCAACCGGTCGGGGCTGTGTATTTATACATCCCGCACATTCAAACTGACGCCGCTGTTCAATAAAAGAATACTGTGTGTACGCCTACTTTAAGTTTGGCAAGCCTGATGTTTATTTTGCATTATCTTATATTCGAAATTGCGTTTACCTTACTTCCAAAAATCAAACTTATAGATATCCGATCTTAAGACATTTTTTCTGTACGTAGAATTTTAAAATATACAATTGCGTCAATATAAGAATTCGATATTTATTATGGTAGTTGAAGAAAAGAATTATAGTTTAGTTTTCAATCCCCTTTTTTAACTCAATAAAATTTGGGATGGAAACGGGGAATGCGTCATACAGACATCAACCCGACCAAAGAGCAGAAAACAGCCCAAGGCACCAATGGGTCTTCAACAGAGCGAGAAGATGATCCCGCACCCGGAGGCGGGCTTCAGCTGGTATACTAGTTCAGCGAAAATGGACGTCACATTAAACTCTGAAACATATAAATGACCCAAAATAAAAAAAAACACAAGACTAACAAAGTACAGAGGTTCCTAACTTGGGACAGGCGCAAAAATGCGGCGGGGTTAAACATGTTTTGTGAGATCTCAACCCTATACCTCTAGCCAATGTGGAATAAACAAACACACAGCAATATGCACAGTTAAATTCTGTTTAAAAGAGGTCAGAGTCCGATGTTAGAATAAGTAACAGAAGAAACAAAGCAAAATGACAATAATCAACATAAATTGACAAAGGACTACTAGCAGTTACTGACATGCCAGGTCCAGACGTCAATTAAACTGATGAAAGATTTGGTCTTCATTGTATGAAAATCAAGCATAATACCTCCCGTTAGGGGATTAGTATCATACCATCATAAAATATACGAGAAGAACATAACCCGTATCATGCCAACAACTGGTTTTAGAATAAATGTGTTTATTTCCGGTGCAAAGAACCTATGAGTGAATCAATATTAATTCCAAAACATGCCATCTTCAATGACCTGACAACAGTATCGTAACTATATCCCTTCTTAAAAAGCTGGATAACAAAAGGTACATGCTTTTGGCAGCTGTTCAAAGTAGACAAATTACCGTCACTTGTCGTGTCAGTTTTCCTTCAGTTCTCTCTATCATAATAATAATAAAAACATTTGGAAATTATTTGAAATTAAGGAATACATATCCCTCATGAAGAGCCCGGATTTGGTTATACTTTTTGTTCTTTTTAGTATATACGGAATTTTCAAATATTTTGGCCTCAAGCGTCAGAGAAGTGACATTTATTGTCGAAATGCGCATCTGGTTCAGAAAAATTGGTACCGTTAATGTTATTACTGCTGAATATAGTAGTGATGTCAATCTCTCTTTCATATGTCAGGTGATTTTTCAGATATCTATATTCCTAGGTATTTGAATTCTTTCATAGTTGTTTTTTTATTATTTTTGCAGATCTTTGGTCGTCCCGGACAGTTGATGCGACTTGCTTATTTTAAAGAATAATCCGCAAAAAATAATAACGACCCCATTTTGAATTTGTTAGATGTTTCTAGGACAGGAAATCAATTATTTTTTTAAATGACTTAAAGATGTATAGTTTCTTAAAATACAGATTTTGTTTCGGTTCGATGTGCTCCTTTTCTCATTCTCCGGTTTCATTTCGTTTCGCCCTGTTTCGTTTCTGTTCAGTACTCATAAAATGTATATCGAGAAAAATTAGTTTTTTGTTATTTAAGATACTTTTAAAGATGTATACCTCAGACTTTATCCCATCGTATCTTTATTTTTTTGTTAATATCAAATTGTTTATCTGCTTTGGGTCATTAAGGCACAATTTTAATAACTCTACCTAGCTGCCAAATCCTTATTCAGCAAATAGTGTCTGGTATATCATGACATTTTCCCGTATATTTCTTTTTAACAATATACCAAGTGGGCAGTCAGAATTGTTAGTCTTAAAAAACCAACAACATATTGGCAGGAAGTAAAATACAAACTCCAATTGATCCCAACAGTAAACTAAAGAGTGAACAACGCGAAACAATTAGTAACACCCGTCCCCTTACTCCTGTTTAGGTCTATTGATGACTCATAAACTTTAATAAGTCAAAATAAACTTAAAACATTAACTTATTCATAAAACATCTATATATGTAAACGTATATCCCTCATTCCTGACATTATCTATAAATTTGAAATAAAAACACTTTTTTATACAAGGAATATACAAAACAATAATAATTATATAGAAACAGATCCCGTTTGAATGGTTTTACACTAGTAACTTTTGGGGCCCTTTATAGCTTGCTGTTCGCCGTGAACCAAGGCTCCGTGTTGAAGACCGTACTTTGACCTATAATGGTTTACTTTTATAAATTTTGACTTGGATGTAGAGTTGTCTCATTGGCACTTATACCACATCTTCTTATATCTATTGAAAAATCAAAATATTACAAAATTAAACCTAGAAAACTAAATCTAAAAAAAACCAACGCAATAGAATTTATATAAGTTGCGAAAGGACTCGATCGAAGATTCCATAAAAATCTTCCGTCAACACTTAGCTCCTAAATGGCAAGAATGCATAAATACGGGGACCTATAGTTGTGAACTTCTATGTCATTTGGTCTCTTATGGAGAGTTGTCTCAAAGGCAATCATAATACATTTTCCTAATTTTATATAAGGTATATAAAACAGAAACATCTAATGTGTTGTAATTAAGCTAGTTAATACAACAAAATAAGATAAATATAATAAAAAATAGCTCGGAAAGTGATTTTATTTACTTAAAGCTAAGCCACAGAAAAAAACCTATCATGAACGACAAATCTTTTATCCGAAGATGCTGATTCTGAAAAAGAAAAAAAGTGACAAATTAATAAATATCTAGAAATATTGGATAGATATAAGAAAATGTGGTATGAGTGCCAATGAGACAACTCTCCATCCAAGTCAAAATTTAAAAAAGTAAACCATTATAGGTCAAAGTACGGTCTTCAACACGGAGCCTTGGCTCACACCGAACAGTAAGCTATAAAGGGCCCCAAAAATTACTAGTGTAAAACCATTCAAACGGGAAAACCAACGGTCTAATCCATATAAAAAACGAGAAACACTTATGAACCACATCAACAAACGACAACTACTGAACATCAGATTCCTGACTTAGGACAGGTGTAAACAAATGCAGCGGGTTTAAACGTTTTAATGGTACCAAACCTTCACCCTTTTTCTGAAACAATAGTGTAACATCACAACATAGAAAGACATACGTAATTTTTGGGGCCCTTTATAACTTGGTGTGCGGTGTGAGCGAAGGCTCCGTGTTGAAGACCGTACTTTGACCTATAATGGTTTACTTTTAGAAAGATACATAATACGTTTTGTATCACTGCAATACTATTTGAATTTTCTGTATTCACCTTCACTTTCAACAAAGTTTTGACCAATCAAAAGCTAGAAAAGAAAATCATTGACTTCTTAATGTTATCTTGGGCTAGGCTTCACCGTTTACTTAGTTTTCGTACATTTTGCAATCACATGTATGTAGAATCACATTTTTTAATTAAAAAAACCACACATATGAAAGTAACAGAAACTTTTGTAGACAACGAACTAAACATTATCATAATAATATACAAATAACATTACCATAGTTTTGATGTTTTCAATTTCATGGTTAAATAATAGATAAAAGCAAATTTCTTCGATTGCTCATATAGTCCACTGTTATTTCATTGGTTTATTAGATATAAGAAGATATGGTATGAGTGCTAATGAGACAACTCTCTATTCAAGTCAGAATTTATAAAACTAAACCATTATAGGTCAAAGTACGGTCTTCAACACGGAGCCTTGGCTATAAAGCTATAAAGGGTCCCAAAAATTACTAGTGTAAAACCATTCAATTAGTTTATTGCATACTTTCAGGTTTCATACAATTAAGAAATCAGACTCTTTCACCGCTTCACATATGGCAACCAACATTCTAGCAAACGATTAAATACAACAACCAAAATATAAGTGAAGTAAGCGCATAGCAGCTTAAGGATGCACAAAACCAATATTTCCGAAAATTTTCGCAATTGCGAGAAATACAATACTTACAGTCCACAAGCAGCTACGCATAGTGGGGCCGATAGTCCAAGTGTTTCCAAAGCAGTGGCACTAGCACAAACAATTGAGCATGAGGCTCCAGATATTTCTTTTCCGTGGCCCCCGAGAAAGTTTTTCACTTTTTCATAAGCGTCATGAACTGGTAAAAAGAAAGTCAATTTTTATTTTAATAGAATATAAACTATATATGCTACAGTGTACTTTCCTTGAGTTTTCTATGTTGTGTTTTGTATATGTTGTTTGTCTTTTCGTCGTTTTTTTCATAGCATTCTCAGTTTGTTTTCGATTCATGAGTTTGAATACCCCATTGCTATATTTCGCCTCTCTTTTTCTACAATTAGACTGAGCAACACGAACCCCACAAAATGTGGCACCAGTCGTGTCGCTCATATAAGTGCAGAGCCGGTGATAAGTCAAATTCGGTAGATCACATTCGAGGAAAAAGAGGACAGGATTGTTGTTACACCAACTAAAACATATCGGATAACAGATAGTCAATAACGGTCAACGAACTCCTGATAGCGTCCGTAAAATTTCAATTGCTTCTTTGAAAGCAGCAACCCTCTATCAAGAAAATCGTGATAGGAAATGCAAGCTTGTATCAACTTGGAGAATATACTCCATATGCAGGCACTACTGGAATGTTGCTAGAACAGGAAGGCTGGCCAAAGCCTTAAATTGTTTTTTTTTTCTTACTCTGAGAAAGTGTCATTAAGAAGAACGAATTACTGCGCTACAAATGTGTTCAGATCTAGATAACGCCTAAAAAATTCAAAATTCATAACTTGAAGATATCACGTTAAGAGTTAAAAGTACATATTCTTAAGCATTAAATTTTTTCCTCGATGTTTTGCTACTGAGGGGTAAGCAGCAGTTAATCAATCAATCAATGAATAAATTTATCCTTGAAAATTATTTAAAGATTTCCTGAAGAACGTTAATAATATGTGATCGTCCTTCTTAATAAAATATACATACCTGATATTCGGTCTTCGTGGGACAAAGTGTTGTATGCATCCTTGTAAAGTTGATGTTCTTGAAAGCTTGCAGACAGGATAATTGGTAGGATTGCAAGTAAAACGATAGCAACTTTCATGATTGGAGACTAGATATTACACTGTAGTGCTGATAAAATAAGACGCACAAAATAAGGCGACGAAATTATTTTCGAACTTTACTGCCACTAAAGCTATTCAACATGTTACAAATTTAAAATAAAGGACAAATTTAAGCATGATAATAATCATAATAATTTTAATGTAATTAGTAAATATCGTAGATACTAAAATAGTGTAATATAAATGTACTATGCCGATTCCAGTACTAGTGCGAACAGTGTGTTTTCTTGAGTAACGTTTATAGCGCTGCTCTCCAGATCTAAAGCATTGAAAGCAACTGCAAATACATCGAAGCGCACAAAACATAAAATAGCTATCCAGTCAGGATACAACGGAGAGAATCGATTTCTCATATTAATGTATATGAAAACACGTGGAGATAAATGTTATTTATTACATTAACTAAATGGATAAACTTAAAACTAAATAAGAATGAATCCATTGAATCATGCTGGAGTGTAAACTACTCTTACTTTTATCTTTCTAATACAAATGTTAATCAATTAAAATTTTATTTAATCATTTATATATAAAAGGAGAAACGGAGTACTTTGAAGGTAACATAGCACTAATAGCTTTAACTCAGCATTTACAACCAAGATAATGTATTCCACATCGCAGAAGACTATTATACACTGAAAAACATATACATTTTGAAAGTATCAAATTGTGTTCTACCGTGAAGTATCGATTCTAAGGAAATACATTTCATCTACTTTCAGTCGATCAATATTTGCTGCTACTGCTGAATAACATCATAATTTGCAGAAAGTTTAAATGTGCTACGGGGATAGACTAACAATTTCGTTCACAGTACTTATCTTTAAAATAGTCCGTAGTATATATTTAGTCTAGAGCTTACCAAACTTTGTAATTGGTGAAAAGAATGATCCTTATCTGATTTATAGTTAACAGGTTAAACGTCAAAGTCACACAAGTTATTTGTGTTTGTGTTGAAATGTTTTCACGATTAAACTGGTTATTTCTTTTCTTACTGGTGACAGTAAATCGTTAGGACACGCGCATGTAACCCAAATTTTGAAATCATTGAATTGTCTAGGGACATATTACATAATCTTACAAACAATTTGGACCCGTTGAATGTATCACAAATCGTGTTTGTTATAGGTTGGCGCATTTAAAATAATGCTTTGATCCTTCAGTTTTTTAAATAAAGATTGAAAAGGCGAATTTACTTAGCAGAAATAAATGGACACAGTTTATTTTTCTGATAGCAATAAACTATTTAATCCCAGCTTATTAACAAAATTAAAATATCGCTTTCTTTACACTGATGTACTGTGCTTTATCAAAAATATCACTTTCTTTACACTGATGCACTGTCCTTTATCAAAAATATCACTTTCTTTACACTGATGCACTGTCCTTTATCAAAAATACCACTTTATTACACTGATGCACTGTCCTTTATCAAAAATATCACTTTCTTACACTGATGCACTGATGTTTTTTTTTTATCAAAACCACCGAGATAATTGTTTGACAAACGTAGATAACATAGCGAAGCATTAAAAGAAAGACTTAAAAGAACAGCCAACAAACACATAACAATAAGTAGACTAGTATTGATAACAAAAATTACAAAAATACTGAACTCCAAGAAAAATAAAATCGGAAAATCCCTTATCAAAGGGCAAACTCAAAAGCTAAAAGACATTACACGAATGGACAACATATATGCCGCATTTTTTTTTAAATATCAATTACAATATCAATTCCGCCTTTGCTGTTTTTCAATTTTTTATTCGAAGCGTATTTCTGTTTAAAGCATTACCACGAAGTGAATTTCACTAAGTAGTAAAAGGAAATAATAAAAAAAGCAAAAAAGAAAGAATAGAAGAAGCGGCCAAAGTAAGGAAAGTATACATTCACACTTGCACAAGCACCGATAACAGAAAAACATAGAAAAACAGTATCCTTAACTGTCGAAATAAATTATAAAATACTAATAACATGAGACTGAAGTACCGTTACACCTTACCCCTTGTTCAGTTGTCTATGGAGGCAATGACATACGGCGGTCCTGCACAATTTATACCAATAAATGTAGGTCAGCAGATTTTATTATCAGAAAAGCAAGGAATCCAACTAATATACTAGTTGACAAAAGAAACACTCAAAAGTGCAGCATTCACATTTTTTAAGTAGCTTTAAACACGTTATATGTATCCGACAGATATGTATTCGAAACATTATTTTTGTTTGTTACGATGCCTTAGATTGCTTAATTAATCTTACTTTTTAACTGCTCATTTCGATTTATTTATCCTACTGTAGGTTTTTAAGGCTCAATGTTAATTACTTTTAATAGCTGCAAAATACGCATTTGGTAAAATTACGTCTTATATTTTTATCTTCAGCTTTTAAAAAAAAAAATTTAATGAAAAGGGGTTGGCCATATAAGCAGTTCCTCTAAATTGATCACTAGCTTATAAACATTAATGTTGTGAGTTCTAACCAGCTTGTGACAAGGTGAATTCGATCTTAATTGACTAGTATCGTCGTTTTCCTGCCACGGTTCGATAATTTTCTCCTGTGTTCCATCAATATAAACCGGAGGCGCCATGATATAGCCAAGTTTGATAAAAATTGCGTTTAACGCCAACAATCAAGCAGTCAAAAGAATATACTCCTGGGGGAAACCGAAACCATAAGTCAAGTAATGACAACAACATCATAGGAAATATGAGAAAGTAGAACTAACACTATTCATACACTAAAGATTGAGCAGCACAACATAAACCAGAATCCGGAGTTGAACCACGGTGATTCGGAGGGATCAACAGTTCCTGTTCATCACGTGACACACGTACCCTTGACATTATTCAGTTGATGAGTTACAATAGCGGATTGGTCAATGTCTATTTATAAATATCGGTACACGTAAATTCTATGGTCCCTTTTCATGGCAATATAAAAGTTTGCAATGATTACATTTTTTTAGGACAAAGGATAGCATATAATTATATATAAAAAACAAAAACTGAATTTTACGAAATACTACGGATTTTCTACTCCAGGAAAATATTACAGAAGCTGTAATTGGCAAAACCTTTCGGAATTTTGGGTCCTCAATGCTCTTCAACTTCGTATTTTATTTGGCCTTTTTAACTTTTTCTATGCGAGCATCGCTGATAAGTCTACTGAAGACGAAACGCGCGTCTGGTGTTCAAAATTTTAATCCTGGTATCTATAATGAATTTTATTTATAAAGACAAAACAGACAAATATAATTCATCACAAAATGTAACACTGATACCAAAGCTAAACCAAGACAAATCCTTTGAAAACAATTACGTCTGCGTGTGCTCCGTAAGGGTAGGCAATTTCTATTCCATCAGTTACATCCGTTGTAATGCGCATGATAACAAAGATTTTAGTGATAAATCACGTTCAGTAATGTCATAAAGAAGGGAAGGAAGATGGTATTGTGACTAAGACAAATGGAATATATCCGCGGTAATCTGTAACATAGATACTAATAACGGTCACAAAATTATAATGGCGTCCGTAGACGTTTCAAAGAAATGTCTTCACTTTACAAGCTAGATCAAGTTAGTTTTCAATATATTAGTAACAAATGTTTGTCCTTCTCAGTAAACAATCGATACATTCAGCCCTACTTTTATTTGTTGGCTATTTTGTTACTGGTGCTTGTGATGATTATGAAACACTTTCCTGTGAGTTTTTTAAATATTTTAATGAGAGTGGCTTTGATGTTGAAAGTTATAATGTTAATATTTATTTTCATCTTAAACAATCTTTTTATTTGCCTCAAAAATTCTTAAAATATATGTATCGTTTCATTCGTTTATTGGTAAAGATATATACGTGTATGCACTGAATAGGTATAACAAAGATCATCTTCAAGTTTGTAATGTAGGACGCAATACTGTGCATTGTTGAATAAAGGATCGTACCTTATATCATGTAGTGTCAGATAGTACTCATAAAGTGATTCGCCCACTAAAAAGACCTAGTATTCGACATTGACTATGATAAACATTACATTATTGACTCAAGCATTAGTGCAAATTAAAAGGTTACCATATCAGATCATAAATTTTCCCATACTATAATAAGGTAAAAGGTGTTGAGAAAATAAAAACAATTTTCACATTTAACCAAGTACCTTGGCAACAAACCTTGACGAAATGTGCATATTTTGGAAAAAAACTGGATTTTCCTCATTTAACATAAAACTTTTATGTATATCTTGGATCGGAAAAGTATGTGCGCACACAAGAAACAGCTTTATATTTGAAGAGATTATGTACATATCTATAATAAGGCTTAAAATTATTTTGTTGTTTCTTGGCTGCACACGATGTTTCCACAAAGGAAATTTGGATGGTAAACTGCATAAATTCGGCAATTTTTCTTCGTTATTATGAAAAGGTGATGTACAGATCTTTCTTTTCAGGAATAGATTATCTTAGCTGTATTTGGCAAAACTTTTAGGAATCTTTGGTCCTCAATGCTCTTCAACTTCGTACTTTATTTGGCCTTTTTAACTTTTTTTTTATCCGAGCGTCACTGATGAGTCTTTTGTAGACGAAACGCGCGTCTGGCGCAAATACAAAATTTCAATCCTGGTTTCTATGATGAGTTTATTTATGATATTATTGTGACGTCATAACATTAAAAATCATATTTAGTTATATAATGTCAAATCATTATGTGCAAATTTAAAATAATCCTCAAACACTTTATTTCCGTGGGCTAAAAATGGGCCTAAATTGCCCCTACTCTTTCCGTATGTTAGTTTTAGTAATGTTGAAGTTATTTCAACACGCTTTGAAGGAGATTTACATTTGTTTAAGGGCTGTACAGATCTTTCTTTTCCTAAATGGCCACGCAGTCTTGAACATCATATAGGAGGGTAGCAATGCACTTTACCGTCAGGCGTCAAACGGTCATTTTTGGCTACCGTTAGCGTTAAATTGGTAAAATTTTTATTGTGATTCGTCAAAGGTCTCAAATAATTATCCGTTACCGTTATTTTTTGAAAGAATTTAACGTGCTTCGTCAAAATCAGTCGATTATTTTTTATCGTCATAAATAAATTGTACATTTTATCGTCATGCACTAAAAATTACCGTTTACGTCATTTAGCAAGATTTTTTTTTACCGTTATTCGTCATGAAGGTAGTACTACCCTCATTACGACCCCCATATAGGTATCATGATAAAAATTTTAATCTTTAGTTTACTATGTTGTGTTTTGTATGCTTTTGTCTGTCAATTTGTCGTCTAACGTTTTTTGTCATGACATTGTTATAAATATAAAAATAAGGAGATGTGATATGAATGCCAATGAGACAACTATCCATCATAGAAAGTTTGTTTTCGACTTACGAGTTTCCATGTCTCTTTGATGTATTTCGCCTCTTTTTTAATAAGTTTTAAATTGATAGGGTACAATGAAAATGCATTTTTTACTTCAGACAATATAAAAATTTAAAGAAATAATCTAAAATGAACATTTCAATATAAATGGGTGTTTATCAATTGCATCTCTTGGCATTAATCAATGATTTTCTCTTTCATATTAAAAATAATAGAAAATGATGCAATGGCAGGAAGACATCACCAAGTCTGCTCATTTTTTTTATTGACTCGTATATAGCAGAACTGGTTTAAGTAAGCAGATCTGCTTTAGGACTTAGTTCAGTTACAGTAGACCGTTATGCAATTGAATCTGAACGGACCGGATTTAAAACAGATTTGTATAATACGAGATATTTGTATTGTATTTGTGACCAATTATGCTTTTAGGACCTACTTTTAAAAGATTTAATCCTGGAAATTTTTAAATACCAAAAAAATATTTGGTGAGATTAGTGGCCAAATGAAAAAAATATATAATATTATATGTATACAGAATTTGATTGACTTCATAAAGGAAGCCATGTGTTTCTGTCCTATTTATTTTGTAACATTATGTGTTATTAACAATATCATTTTAAACTGATAAAAATAGATGGAGAAATATTTTGATATACATTTCAGCAGTAAGTCAATTCAGACAATGACATGGAATACAGCAGCAAATGCTTTTATGTCAACATATCCATTTTTGTGTGTGTGTGTAATTGGACTATTTATTGACACTGCTATCATCTTCAGTAGATGTAGAATGAGGATGTGCAAAGTCATTAAAAGAAAACTCGTAAAACTTTTAAGATATGTTGCGTGTTTTAAGATGCAAGACAAAACTATAAATGCTTAAGAATTCTCATGTTCTATAAAGGTTGGTGGTCCCTGACTGTTAGACAAAGAAGGTAAACAAGAAAATAAGCTGATTGAAGAGATTTTGTCCCATGTAATAGTAAATTTTCTGTTCCATTCTTTTTTTATTGAACCAAAGCTTACAAAGCAGTACGCTAATTTGTGATAGATAGGATAGATAATAAGTATATTACTTTTTGAGTTTAGACTTTTTCCACATTTGTACATTTAAACAATTAGGAATCTCAACAATACATGACAAAAAAACGAATTTTTTACAGCACAAATGTAATAAAAAAATGATTGGATATCACGTCTTGGATGCCAGAATGTATCCGATCTTATTTCAGTATAACACAACCTGTTGATAAATATGATCCAACAAATTCCATGAATGCATGTCACACTAGAAGGATTCGAACAAGAAGACCCTTTTATAAAGACGATCTTAAAATGTTATATTTGAATATCATGACATTAATTATTACACCATAAATTTATCAAATTAAACATATTTACTATTTATAGATATTAAAAATATCATAACACCAATGTAAACAAAACTGACGGCAAAGCGAGACATGCTAGCCCAGTCAAAGCAGGTAATGTAACTCCAAAGTTTTCGAAGAAGCTGGTTTGTTTGGGTTTCAGTTTGATGCACCTTGTCATATAATTTTTAAGGGTGTCAAAATTTGTAAGAAACCCTGATGGAAACGACACATTATCCCCTAATTCATCTGGGTTTCTTGTTACTTGAATACTGATTT